ACAGCTAACTGGGAAGAAGGGAAGATCTGAACCCAGGACCGCCGAGTCTTTCCGTGCCACCAGCCCCAGAGGGAAGGTCTGCCCATTCCTGCTGCATTCCACGTCTGCGCCAGCCACAATGCCTGCATCCCTGCAAACTGCACATCAAAGGGCCAAGCCCAATGTTTTGGTTGGCACCAGGGGAGCAGGGGCAGGGAATGGGGCTGAGAACCCACGGGAGGAAAAGGGAAACCCCTGATGAGTGCAGGGCTGGAGGAGGAGGAGACCTGAGCTTCTCGAGCAGTCTGCCAGGACCCCAGGGAGGGAGGCAGGGCACATGCATGCACGAGGAACAGCCCCCTTTCTCCTTGGCCACAGCTGCCCTCCCTGGCTTCAACCCCAGCCCAGCCTTGGGTGACCAGCAAGCTGGGTGACCCCACAAGCCTCTAGCCTCGGCTTTCCTGTCTCTTGTCATGGGATACATGCCACCAGATGATCTCCCAGGGCCTTTCTGGCACATACCCTAAAGCCTTTTGACCACCTGCTCTCTGTTCAGCCTCAGGAGAAAGGCAGAGATGGGGCAGGACAGGAAGGAGGGAAAGACAAACCCCCCGGTCCTTGCCCAGTCTGAGGAGAAGAGGCCCCTCCCTTCCCAGGACGAATGCTGGGAGCCCTGAGCCTGCCGCTGACTAGAACAGTCAAAACGAGGATGACAGCTGCAGGAAGGCCCGTAACACTGTTAGAGGCCTACTCACCCTGAGCCCCAGGCCAGGGCTGCCCCCGCCGAGGTGCCTCCACCATCTTTGACGGGGACCAAGGGATAGGTAGTCACAGGCTCGATGACTCACAGCAAGGACCCCAACATTCCCCTAGAATAAAACCCAAAGCATAAAAGGCACAGGGCTATGAGGACGCCTCCCCATAGTGCTCAGGGAACATGGCCTTAGAGGTAGACCAGGCCTCCCTGTCTTCTTCCTCACTGCCCTGCCCATCCCCTGTGCCCAGCACAAGTGTGCCTGTGAACGGCCTTCACTCTGGGCCCCTCTGCCCATCTTCAAGGCCTGGAAAACTCCTACTGGGCTCAGCTCAACAACCCCTCTTCCAGCAAACCTTCCCTGCCCAGGTCAGGGTCTCTTCTGGGTCCCATTAACTCCTGTGCCTCCTCGAGTCCCAGCACTGATCACTGCAGGGTGGCTTCTAGGAGAGGGCAGATCTAAGTGGAATTCGGAAATAAGGAAGGATATGTGGCAAAGTGGGGGGAACATGGGGGCTCTTAGATAGGGGGGCAGCACAAGGAAAGCCTGGTGGCAGGGATGCATGAGCAGGGCCTCTTGAAGAGCTGAGGGCAGCCCCAGGCTCCAGCCAGCAAGTTAAGCCCCATGTGGGCTCCATCTGGAGGTGGTGGGGGGCCTGTTGCCAACAGGAGACTCCTCGCCCTCTGGGAGCCCAGGGGTAGCAGGGCACATCCGGCCAGCTCATCAAGCCACCAAACCCAAACCCAGGAGACAAATCCCTGGCCCCACGGCTGGCTCCAGCAGGGGGGCGGGACAGACAGGGCTGATAACAGGACCACCCAGTCCCAGACGCTGCCCCACTGCCCAGAGGCCTGGGTTTCTGCAGTTAGCTTCTGAGGAGCACTCAAGCATTTACCACCATTCCATCTGTGGGCCTCATCAGATGGCTAGAATGGGGAGATCTGGCTGCCCCCATCTCACTGTGTGGCCCTGGGCAAGTTGGTCCACTTCTCTGGGCCTCACACAAAGCCCGAGATTTAATGAAACCAGCAGAGAAGGTAGCCAGATGCAGGGAAGGAAGGGAGGCTGTCCAGGGGCAGCTGCCTAGGGGGAGAGGCTGGGGGAGGGAAAAAGATAAGGCAGGTCAGCAGCCCCCCCCCCCCCCCCACCACGCCTGCCCATTCTTTGGGGAAAAGCAGCTCAGTGGCCAAGGCTTGGGCTCTGCACGAGCCCTCAAAGAATCAATCAGGCCATAATTAGGGTCATTATTAATCTCTTTCCACAGTGGTGCCAGGGTTGCTGTTTATCCAACACTTCCGTGCCAGGAGACCTCTGATTTCCGCTCTGAGCCGGCCAAGCTGGCCCGATCTTCCGGGCGGGCTGGCTCCCGACCCCCACAGTGGGAGCCCCAGTTCTCCTGCCCCTCTCAGCCATCCTCCTGCAGAAAGGGCTCCCTCCTTCTCCCTCGGGAAGGGACGGCTTCCTTGGAACTGTGTCCTCTGGGACAATTTATCCCCTACCTAAAGCTCTTAAGCTCCCCTAGTCAACGTTTAAGAAGCCTCTGCTCTGTAGCAGGCCCTGCTGGGAGCCAAGAATGATCCCCAGAGAATCAGACACGAACCTTCCTTTCATGGAGACAAACTCACTGCACAACGGCCGCCACAACTACACCCCGTGCACAGTGCCTTCCAGCGCACGTGGGCCTCCACGCATCGGCTCATGGAAGCATCTGGCCAGCTCTGCAGGGGAGCACCAGATCCCTGGCATATGGACCCATGGGGAGGAGAGGCTGGTGGAGGTCAGGATAGGCGTGCTGAGCTTCAGGGAAGGCCCTACGGGGTCAGACCCGCGTGTCTTGGGCGTGTTTGGGGCTACAGGCTAGACAGGAGCCAGGAATGGACCCCACCCAGGGGACCTGGCTTCTCTTGGCATGGGCAGGACCACTGTTTCCCAAGTCGGGACTATGAGCGTGGGCTGAGTAGTCCCTAGGAGTGACCTGGCCTTGCCCAGAATGCCGAGCTTAGCATCTCAGAACTCAAAATCTCTAGCTATAAGCCCTCTAAACCAGGGTCTTAGAATCGCCTCACTCAAGACATACAATCACGGAATCCTGGTGCAGTCCTACAGGGATCTAAGAACGATCCTTGGATTTCAGACTATTTCAAATGTCAGCACCAGATCTGGAGCCATTCCATCCAGCCACCCTTCTCATGCAGAAATCCCCTGTACAGCTCCTAGGGGTGGTTCCCCAGCAGAGTGGCCTGCGTAGGCTTGCAGGCGTGCTGTGACAGGCCCCTCCCTCCCTGGAGGGCTGAGTGCTTCCCCCCTTGAAGCTGTCAGGACCCCTACCCCTCCTCCCTGGCTGGCACTGACGGGGTGTTCCCAGAGCAGGCAGAGTGAGCAAATATTCTTAGGGCTTCTGGTGGGGCCTCAGGGGTCAGCCTGGGGGCCTGATGAGGGGGAGCCTTTCATCAACCTCTCACCTCAATTGACACCCCAGTGCCTCCCAGGAGCATGTGACTTTTTCCAAGGCCTCTTCCTGGGTCCCCGTGAAGCAGGGGGGCGGGGGGGGGGCGGCGGCACCCAAATGGGAGGAAAAGGAGAAAGCTGAATCTGGCAGAGACTTGCACTGAGCAAACCTGTCCAAGATCAGTTTTTACCCCCCCCCCAGGGAATGGAGAGCAATGATTTATTTTGTTTATTTATGTAAACCAGCAGAGTTATCATACAAACGAGCTTCCCAAAGCAGGCCCTTGGGGATGGGAAGAGAAGCAAGGCCTACCATTTAAGGAATCTTTCTCTTGCTTCCTTCCCCTTACACCTACCTGTGTAGCCTCACCTCCCCCTGCCCTTCCTCACACCACTCTGCTCCAAGCACACCACATTATCCAGTCTCCCCACCTCCACGCCTTTCGCTCCCGCTGGGCGCTCCTCCCCACCCCACTTCAAGTCCTACCCATCTTAACAAACGGACCCCGTGCAAAGCTCGGTCTGACCCCCCATCCCCCCAGAAGCCCACCACCTCCTGTCTCTGTGTTCCCATCACCCGGCAGAACTCTCGAGACATGATCGCTGCGCCCAGTAATTATCTGCTTCCGTAGCTGCCTTGTTCACCAGGCTGAGATTTCGGAACTATTTGGCCAAGCTTTTCTGAAGAGCCCCAGTGTCTGTGGCCCTGCACGGGGCAATGGGGACACAAGATACGCCAGGCCCCAGCCCTGCGAGGGGAGTCACTGCGCAGGGGGCCTGTGTCTCTGCACTGGGCCTGGCACCAAGGAGGCCCTGGTTTATCTGTCAGTCCGAAAAGCTGGTCAAACGTGCGGTGGAAGGAAAGGAGATCAGAGCCTCTTCAACCATTAGACTGCAGAGCCGTTTCTGAGCCTGTTTCCACTTCTGCTCCTGAATAATAATTAGCCTCTCCCAATTTACAGGAAAAAAAAAAAGTTACCAAAAAAAGTCTCAATTAAGTATTTTCTCCCACAATTTTTGCCTAACCCCCTGATATCTGTTTGCACACATCTGTTCCGGGTCTAGTAGAAGATGACCTCAGCATTAGCACAGAATACTGACTTCCTGTCACTCTGTCTCTCTTCATCGTGGTGCCCTGTGAAGGATGGGGGCCCCTCTACTTCCAGGCATGTCTGAGAACCTGGGGCCTGACCTTCTCTTCCCTCCTTTCAAATGTCTTGGTCTCCCTTCCGTAACAAAAGAAAACTGGACTTACTTGAATGCTGAGGAAGAAAGCTGCAGGAATTTGCTGGCCCAGCACACCTTGAAGGTTCACGCCAATTCCATGATTCAAGACCTCCAATTCCACCATTTGCTATTCATTCCTTTGGCTGAGGCATCACTTGCTCTAGGACTATCTTTTTAAAATACAGATCTCCCCTGGAAATGGGAGCCCTTTAAGCCCCCAAACGGGAGGTCAAGGAAACTTAGTTTAATACATGGCTCTAGAGGCAGGAAATCACAGGGACTGAGAATGTGCAATGAGAGCCAGTCGGCCTGGGTTTGAGACCCAGTTCTACCACCTACTAATTGGTATAATACCACCAGACCTCAGTCTCCTTATCTGTAAAGTGGGGATAATAATTGGTATAATGCCACCAGACCTCAGTCTCCTTATCTTTAAAGTGGGCATTTTTATTATTACTGTTGTTTTTTGTAAACTGTGAGGCGCTGTCCCCCTGGGAGAGGCAGGCGCTGTTACAAGCAGCCGGTGTGTTACCTGCTGTAACTTGTGTCTAACTCCTTTCTCCCCCTACCCTTTGCTTCTCTTTTCTTTACCTAGAAGAAGGTATCAGTGGCTGTGAGCGGGGCTCCTGAGGATGTCCTGTCCATAGAGGTGGTGATGTCACTTCCCTGGGACAGCTGAGGGGACAAGGGGACAAACCCAGTCAGATCACTAATCAGTCCACCTGGCCTTCTCCTCTCCCACCTGACCCTTCGTGAATCCCCACCCGGCGCCCACGCCGTGCTGGGTATGGGACCCAGGGATGGGCCACACCTTGTCGCTGCCTGGGGAAGCCGCCGAGTCGGCGGGTGGTCCAGCTGTGGGCCACCAGACCCCGCACAAGCAATCCTACCTCCATGCATGCTGCCCGCAAACCAGCCCCAGCCCCAAACCCAGGACAACCAGTACCCCAAACCACTCTCACCCCCTCCGGAACCCAGGGAAATGCAATCCAAGTCCCAGCCACCCTGGAGAGAAACTGGGGCTGCGTGTGGCTCCTGGGGGGGCTGAGGCCCTTTCGTGCAGCCCAGAGACCTGCTTCTCTGGAGGTGGCTGCCCAACCAGCTGCTCTTCTAAGGCAGCTACTGAGGGAGGGCCAGGGGGCTGGCGGCAGGATCTGGGGCACCGCAATTATGTGGCTAACTTCTGACTCATGCACTGCCTCCCCCATCCCCAGTTCCTACAGCCAGCAGGGCAGCCCTCCTGCTCAGGAACCGGGAGGAGAGACGGTACTAACAGGCCCTGGGGAGAAAAGGAGGAGGCAGCCCCGGGGCAGTGCTGCTGGCTTACAAGGGTGCTGCCACAATGCCCACCAGGGCACGGCTGGGAGCCTCCCTAGGCCTCCCAGAGAGTCAGAGGCAGAGCCAGGGCTGGGACCTAGACCTCCTGCTGCCATGCAGACCCACGACAGGGGTGGCTCAGGCCCGCTGCCCAAGGCCATGCCAACATGAGAACTGTCCAGCCCGATCAGTCCCCGGAGCCACACGCCGGCAAGAAACACACAGCCAAGTCGCAGCCTCAGACTGGAGGGGGACCGAGCTGGACTCAGAGACAGCTTAGAAGAGACATCCAGCTCCTGAGACACAGACCCCTAGGGCACCCCAACCCTGCCTCCTTCTACCTGCAGTCCCCAGCTTTCTCCCAGCGCTACCGTCTACAAAGCATACTTACTTCCTGTGTCTCCCATTATGACCCTAAGTGACAGATGGAATATAAATAGAGCAGGGCTTCTCAAACTTCAGTGTGCAAACAGATCACCTGGAGACCTTGTTAAAACACAGTCTGACAGGGGCGCCTGGGTGGCTCAGTTGGTTAAGCGACTGCCTTCGGCTCAGGTCAGGATCCTGGAGCCCCGGGATCGAGTCCCGCATCGGGCTCCCTGCTCAGCGGGGAGTCTGCTTCTCCCTCTGACCCTCTTCCCTCTCGTGCTCTCTCTCTATCTCATTCTCTCTCTCTCAAATAAATAAATTAAAAAAAAAAACAAAACACAGTCTGACACAGTGTTTTCTAGGAGGTCTAGACTGGGACCTGAGATTCTTCATTTCTGACCAGCCCCCAGCTGATGCTGGTGCCGGTGCTGCGGATCCAAGGGCCACAGTCTGAGTAGCAAGAACACAGTTGTTAACAGCATGGACACTGGGGTCAAACTGTCCAAGTGAGAATCTTGACTCTTACTGTGTAACCTTGGGCAAGCTACCTGATCTCTCTGTGCCTCTATCTCCTTATTATAAAATAGTAACAATGACAACAACAGTATTAAACCTGACTCACAGAGGTTGATGTGAGGACTAAATTATGTAAAATGCTTAAAGTGATTATTATTTCAAATGTAAAAACGAAGACTCTGAGAGAGGGGCACAGCGAGCAAGGTGGCAGAGCCAGAATTCAAGCCCAAATCTCTTCATGTACATCCTGAGATACCAAGCCACCCTAAAATGTCACAGCCGGCAAGCCCTCCCCCACACGTGGAGACTGAGGCCCAGAGAAGGGCGGGGAGCTGGCAAGTTTATGAGAAAGTTGCTGTCAGAAATCCAGGCTCATGACTCCCAGCCTCCTGTTCTTTCCACCTAACTATCCTTCTGCACTGAAGAGAAAGTGTCACAGATTCTCTCTGAGGGGTCCCAGCCTGCACAGGGTCTGTAGCTAGCCTGGAAGCCAGTTGTGGGAATGGCGGGATGTAGAGGCCACCCCCCTGCCCACCATGGCCCGGGTTCACCTGCGCTCTGAGAGCCCCGCCCAGCAGGCCGGGTGAGAACAGTCTGGGGGCCTCCTTCCATCTCCATCTCCTACCTCCAGTCTATGGCACTGCTTGGTCTCAGGGTCCCTCAGCTGGGGTGGCAGGCAGAAGGTGACATGGCCTGGGCCCAGCTCCACCCCCACCTTGGTTTCCCAGCACAGGGCTAGTGGGAGCCTGAGTGAGTCAGGTGAAGGAAGTGCCTGGCCCCAAACAGGAAGTGGCTCTTCAAGCTGAAAACCCCTCCAGGATCCCCAGGGCCCCGCAGCAGGTGGCTGGGGGGAGCAGAGCCTGAGGAAACTGACTGGGATATAGTAACACCTATTCGGATTTTACCTGAAACTCAAACGTGGTATCCATCCTCTGGACTGTGAACCGTGGCCAGGGGCTTTTCCGCTGTGTGATCTTAGGTACATCAGTGCCCTTCTCTGAGCCTTTATTCTCTCATCTGCCGGATGTGGGGCTGCATTACAAGACTGCCTAAAGGGACACCTGGGTGGCTCAGTCTGTTAAGCATCTGACTTCAGCTCAGGTCATGATCCCAAGGCCCTGGGATCAAGTTCCACATCAGGCTCCTTGTAGGGAGTCTGCTTGTGTGCGCACGCGCTCGCACTCTCTGACAAATGAATAAAATCTCTAAAACAAAACAAAACAAAACAAAAACAAACAAAAAAACAAGACTGCTTATGGCCTGGCATTCCACAATGAAACGAAGGGTTGAAGGAAGCAAATACGGGTTTTAAAAAAATGAGCAAATGCATATATGAATGAAAGGCATGAGTGAATGCAGACACATAGATTTAAACACCAGCCGTAGGACAAGCTCCATCATTTATCTGATGTTAGCTGTATGATAGAGATCTCGCTGATGAGATCTCCTCCCCCCCCCCCCCGCCCCCAAATCACCCTGAGGCACAGGGAAAAAGGGCTACTGCCCGGAGCCCACACATCACAGACACACGCTCACAAACGAACATAGCAGAGAACACGCGGGAGCCTCTGCCACAGGACATCCGTGGGACCCACCAGCATAATCTGCTCCCCTAACGCCACTCAGTCTCCCCTAAAACCCTTCTCCATTCCTTGGGCATGAGGAACAAAAGGTGATTCTGTCCCCAAGAAGAACTGTGGGTCGCTTTGTTGCTGATGGGGAAGAGGGACACTGGGTGGTGGCGGTGGAGGTGGGGGGGACCAGGAGGGGACCAAAAGGCAGGAATGTTTAGGGGCAAATTCAACTTGTCAAATCCTTTCTCCAGACAGTAATGAGCAATAGCTTCTTACATAACAAAGTATCTGTTTCCCGGGAATGCCAAGCAACTATTTTTGGGGGGGGGGGCGGCTTTTCTCCCTATTCCAATTTGTGATCCTAAGAGTACTCATGAATTAGTGTGGTACCCACAATAAATGCACAAAGGGGCCAAAGAACATCTCACAGTATCTTAGAATTCATATTACTCCAATTAGTGTAACATGAAATGTGACACGAACTCTTTACATCGGCAGCTAGGTGGACATGAAAGGCTGGGACTGAATAGTTTCAATTTTATAAATGTTTAAAAATTTGAATATTCATCTCGATTCAAATGATTTTATTTTAAAATCTGATATTCATTGATTATAATGTGCATAGTTTTGATTTCCAGAGATAATTTCAAGGCAAAAAATGATTTTTGAAGATGTAAGTTTTCTTTTCTTTGCATTTAATTTACATTTTTGATGGAAATATACTCAAATTCCAAGCACTTTAAATATAATTGCTTTTTAAAAGATTTTATTTATTCATTTGACAGAGAGAGACAAAGCGAGAGAAGGGACACAAGCAGGGGGAGCGGGAGAGGGAGAAGCAGGCTTCCCACTGAGCAGGAGCCCGATGCGGGGCTCGATCCTAGGACCCTGGGATCATGACCTGAGCCGAAGGCAGACGCTTAATGACTGAGCCACCCAGGCGCCCTGTATAATTGCATTTTATTTTTGATCCTTCAGATTGTTACTATGGATACCCAACTTTCAAATGATGTGCAAATCTTGATTATAAGGATATAACTCTGATGATTTCGCTAAAACGAACACAATATATTTTATGAAGTAAATAAGGAGTAATGTATGAATTCTGTTTTATCACTCATTGGAACATCACCAGCCCACCAACAAAACACCCAGATGTGTACTCATAATTACATTCAGTCTTCTTTGCTATTCTGTCACTTTCAGTTGTATAAAATCCTAACTTTACATGTATATTTCAATTTATATTATGAAGATAGAACTGTTGAGGTGAGAAAATCATATTATTTTATTTCACAGTTTCTGGGTTTGTTTTATAACCTTCAAATATCCGACAGAGATATTATGGGCCTCTATTTGTATTTTTGCTCTGGGCCCTGCACACTTGGCACTGGGCCTTCCTGTTTTACCCCCTGCTCCTCAGCAGGGCAGGCAGGGAGGGGCCCGGGCCTCAGAATAGGTCTTGCAGTGTCCTAGTCGTTAAGCCTGGTGGGAGCAGGACCCTGTCCATCTGAGCACAGAGCTAAATAACCCTTTCCACAGTACGTGCTCCACAGATGGTTGTCAGATGTGCTAGTGATTAACAGCAGTGACTAACCACTCGGGTACCTAGCTCAGTCCATCCTGATCATGGAGAACTTAGTTCAGGTTCCAAGTTAGACGGGGCTGGGGGCTGGAGCCAGGTCTGCCAGTTGGGGAGCTCTGTGGGATTCTGCTTCTGGAAGCTGAGAGAGAGCACGTGGGCCTGAGGGAACAGTGGAAGCCCAAGGAAGCTCTCAGAAGGTCCTGCCTCTAGCAGACCACACAGTCCCAGGGCACCTCTTTTGCACCCCCCCTTTCTAACAGGTGCAAAGAGTTATCACTTACTGGAACTTCCTCTGGGCCAGGCTCCACATAATC